TACGCGGACTCCTCGGGGTTCGTCAATGGATCGTGGTAGATTACTGACCTGTCGGAACCGTGGAAGCCAGCAGATGATACCGAGTTGCGATGCACGTTCCTGTCGATAAAGGCCGTCGCGTGCTCATTGCCTAGCGACAAGAGTGCGTCCAGCGCTATCTGGTCGCCGCCATTGGTGCTGGGAGAAGCCAGGATTTCTGGACTCCATCTGTCAAAAGGCGCAATTGGCTGCTCGGCATTATTCGGATGTGCATGAGTTACGGTCTCATGAAATGAACTCTGAGGCACATTGACTAATGGTGTTGTGTCTTGACTTTCTGCCGCTGAAGGATTGGCTGTGCTTTGAACAGGCAGTTGCTCACGTGCAGACGGTTGCTGTGATTCCTGTGAAGGCGTCGCTTCATCATTATCGTCCACGAACTACATGTTCAATATCAGAAAAGAGCATATTAAAGTTAGACGGAAGCATAAATACCTTGACCTTGCAATAAGTCGGCGTAGGTGGTACCGCTTTGGTCGGCGACGATGATTCGTTCACGGTGAAGGCATTCTTTTCCAGAAACGACAACCGCGTTCCATATTGGCACTCGAAGCCACCTGCAATGCACCGTTGACACCGCGGTTTGCCCTCGTCACCTAGTATCCCAATATCAGATCAGCACAACCGCCGGAAATCCGCCGTGGAAAGTCAATGGATCCCGTACACTTTCTCCGGCGAACCCGACATTTCAGACAGCCGGTGCGGACCCTCTTGGCCGGCTGCGATGCCATCTATGATGGGGCTGCGCGGCGATACGCATGCTCGTCGTTGAACCACGGGCTTCTGTCTGCCTTTTTCGAGACAACTGCTCAGCCACTCCAGAGCTTCTTTGGTGGTTTATTGTCTTTGCGGGTGACAAGCTGGGAAGGTTGAAGCGACGAACTCTTTTTTCTTTTCTCCCTTCCCCGGCAAGAGACTTTTTTTCTACCATAGAACGGGGCAAACATTGAGACTTTCCCCGCCAATAGTCGAACCATTTCAGGTCATGGGGGAGACCCGAGGGTCCGTTTTCGCGGGGAAGAACGCTGAATTGCTGACTATACCGCTTCTGGCAAGAATTGGCGCCTAAGAATCATCGCCAGATCTAGTGAGGGGACTCAACATGTTTGCTCACTCGCTCAGTCCTATATAATCATGGCTCTCGAGGGCCCTGTTTGCTTTGAGGGAAAAAATAATAATCATACTTTTGACATGCGTCGTTGGCTGCATCTCGTCTCAGAAGCTCGAATGGTTGTGGTATTTCATCGATTGACTTCATGACGGCTCCACGCATACCGCGGAAAAATGGTCTAGAGGGCCTTTGGCTTCTGATTGTGAGTGGGACTAGTTGTTCAGTGCTTCAAATTTCCCTTTCGGGAGACAGACCACTTGGCAATGCGGATGGCCTTTCACTTTCCCATTTATTCCAGATGCCATAGTGAAATAGTCAGACGTCGACCATATTATTAGTCAAGATCTAGACTCGCAGCTCTTATGCAGGGACGTTTCTATATTCGTAGACTCTCCTCCGAGGTAAATAATTGGCTACGAGGTGCTGTTCCGCTTCCCACGCAGAGCAGTGGTAGCTAGTGCCAAGTGCTGAACATTCAGCGGGTATCTCCAACTCAAATTGCGCCTGTAAAATATCGCGACAATGACACGCGTCAAATCATAAATTCCTCCCCATTGAGATCACCACCATCTCTCTTATCCGCTTGCAGATGGGCAAGCTGCCGGAGTGACTGGTTCCAAGAACGCTGCGGCGTATTGCCAGCCATGAACTTCGGTCCAGACCTGCGGTTCATCAAATGGCTCCAACAATGCAGTCACGGTACCCACGACAGGCTTGGGCTCAAACGGCGCCGCCGTGAGCGATGTGTTGTACAGCAGCTGGTAATCGTCGCACAGACTCGGTGTCGCGAATGTTACCTGATTGGTGATGTTCTTGATAAAGTCAAATGGCCAAGGACCCGACTTGCAGCCTTCAGCCGTGGGCTTGGTTGCAATGGTCATGTACCTCGCGATATCGGAGCCGTTCCGTACGCCACTGGCACTAATGTACGTGCCCGAGTCCCCATCAGACCGGTACGCATCATTCGGCGGATCAAAGGTCGCCGGGTGTACGGTGACGTCGTAACCAGAAGCTCCATCGATGGCGAGCTGATTGCTTGCCGTGAGCAGAATCGTCTTCTGGAGGCGAAAGGGCGTCGCGCCATCTCCGCTGAGGTCTAGGAAGGGAAACTCGAAGGCCACTCGCTGGGTCATGTTAGCCCTGTGCAAAGGAGGATATCTCAGAGTAAGCCGAGACGCTGAAGCAGTGCAACGTACAGTAAAATCCGCCAGGGATAGGTTATACATGGCCAGTTGTATGTCGTGGTCGTGCTTGGCCGTTACCACTAACGGGTACATGCCTTGGGGAAACGTGGGTAACAGAGACATGTATCCGGATTCCAGGATCGAATATTCTGGGACAAGACTCTGTGCTAGTGCGATTGCAATGGGTATGATCATGGTCGTTCCATTCAGGTTACCACTGATCAAATCTGGGTACATTTGGGCGATTGGGTTCGGTTGGTCAACGCTCGTACTGGTGTTCTGTGCCGATAGGCCAGTAAGGAATGTCGATGCCAGCAGCAACACTGCCAACGCCGTCGATCCAATCATTGTCGACATGATGGGCTTGCTGGATCTTGAAGAGACTGCAGGAACCGTTCTCGCCACCGATTGAGCCTTTTCAATTGTCGTAGTCTGTTGACATGTCGACGTTTTTGAGGTGCCCATGATAGCTCTTATTATCTTCAGCTGGTCCTCTAAGATATCAGAGCACACGAAGCCTAGTGGCTCGCTAGATCAGTAGTAAGAGAAGTGGCTTGGTGAGTCCGGCTCGCTTAGGACGACTGAGGTGTGCAGAATGGTCTGATGTTGGAGAAAGTCGACAAGGATGGTGGGAGACTCTTTCCGTGTGGCTTGCGGATTCCAGGACGTCCGACAGACTCCAGAAATACCTATACGTAGTTCAAGAGAAATGTGTTTGTGGTTCTTTTTGAATGAAGGTGTTCATCATCGAAACAAGAAATTGCAGATCGACAGGCCGCATGAAACAAAAACCACGGCCCGGTGAGGTAGTGCGTGGCGGGCCGTATTATTTAGACTGCCTAATCCACAAACTCAGAAGCTTCACCCACGAAAGCTTATGGCGCGTCGATAGTAGATTGAGCTTATACCTCACTGTAATGATGGGGGAATAAGTTGACATTAGTACCATCTGATACGAAAAAATGAAAAGGTAGGAAAGCAGAAGTGGGAACATCATCACATTCCTAAGCAGCATGCAACTTGTACGTGTCTTGACCACCAACAAGTGCTGCTTTACATGGCATGATTCCCATCGTGACCGCTTTGGATTGTCTGACTACCGCCAGCCGCCCAGCAAGGCGGCTTACAGAGGGTCCGATCATCTAGCGGAGCAACTCATGTCAATAATTGTCACATCAGTACCACAATAAAAGAGCAGAAATTTCGTTATGATCCCACTGATTTACTGCTTTCGAAACGGAACACATTGAATCCGAGCAGTCTGACTTGGGGGCAGCGCTTTGTCACTCCTCAACTATACTGCATTCGGCGAAGGAGGTCGGCCGCGTCCTGCTTCCTACCGGAATGTCAACCACGAGGGCATCCCTAAAGTTCCATTTTACAGCCTGGTAAGAACAAAATCAGATGGAAAACAGGGTTCCGTTTAGGTATGTGAGATATTCTTCGGTGGCTTTCCAACTGCCCCACGGTCCCGGAAGTGCCAGCATCCGGGGCACTGGCTTCTATACTAAGGATTTCCCCCCAACCGGGAGTAACGTTTACCGAGTGGTTCTAGCCCGTTTCGTTTGTTTCTTCGGCACCTCTGACCACTCACCGACAACTTGGGATGCACTCCAGATGATCCATAATCCGAGCCTGTCGATCTCTGTCGTTCGTTCCTAAATAGTACCTAATAAATCCTTCAGTTTTCCCAATTTGAGTCCGTCACTCAAACAAATGTTTCCATAAAATTTGCGTTGTTTCATCTGCCCGATCAAGAGGAGCTTTTGAGGCCGGGAGCAGGTCTTCCTGTCGTCTGAAGTCAGTATCGACAATGACAGCCACTTCATCGAGTACCTCCCTACTATGCTAGACAAGCGCATTTTAGACAACTCCATCCATCATCCACGGAGCTGCTGTCACATCATGGGTCGAAATGGACGCACTGGCACCTAGATATGCGTGTCTTGCATGTCAGCAGACGCCGTCACAGAACACCACATACGTGGCTGCATGAACCAGAAGCTGGAATAAGGAACTCGTCGGCTATTGATATGACGCGGCTCAACAAAGCCTTATACAATCATGGAATCTGACCATGGATGCACTCCATGTTCTCCTTTTCGTGTTCCTATGGCTAGAGGCAAGTATTGCGCTAGGATATTGATCCGCCTGCCCCTAAATCTTGCGCATTTGAGAACGTTTTCATATCCTATCGAAAAATGAGAAAGCGATTCAAGTTTGGCCACGTGCTTTGCTTTGCTTTGCTCTTTTCCTTTTCTCATTGTGCACTGGTCTGTGAAATTGGGTTTTGTAGGTAAACTCGTTTGGCGGAAAGCCAAAAAGCCTTCGTGATCAAAAAAAGGATGGATTGTTCTCGCGGGTACGAAATACACCAAAATTTCAAAAATTTAGCGTCTAAGTCAGGATATGCCCGGGACTCTGTTGTGCTGTAAGTAGAATATCGGCAGCGTTAATGGGAGACGGTGCTTTCGACAACGCGCAAAATTGCGCAACTACTAGCATGCTTGCGGAGTCCTCATTCAATTGACGAAAACAAAGTTCGAGCGACGTTGATGAAAGTCACCATCAGGTACGCGGAAAAGATGAAGATTACAATATCCTAAGGTGGTAGGTAGGTAGGTAGGTGGGAAAAAAATTGGTCGGCGACGAAAAACACAAAAAGCTGACCACGACCCGATTTGAACGGATGACCTTCTGGAATTTCTAATTCCTCCTTGTAGGGAAGCTGGAATCAGATGCTCTACCGCTGAGCTACGCGGCCAGTGATGTTTCCTGATTGGATGATGGTGTGAAGCTTAACGTACAACATATTAGCGTTTCCCCGCCGCACAATGACCTGTCTTGAGCCGGCGGGGTAAAAACATCTGTCGAGACTCGGGTCGGACACGAACAGATTTGTTTGACAGGATGCCTGCCGGATCGTGAGGATCGTCACGACCCGTTCACAACCATGCACCATATTAACTCATGCGAGTCACCATCCATGTTCATGCTGTCTGATCACAATCAGTTCGTGGGGTTCAAGTGCCCATCTGCTGCACTCAATTCGGCCCCCATCAGACATTTCTACGCGACGCATGTTGTCATGAATGTACCGAAGCAGCTACATACAGATTCACAGTGCGTAAATCGCAGAGTTGATCACAGCATATCACTTGCGGATGCATCGGTATGACTGCACGGGTGATCCTTGGTGGTTGAGAACGTTTGTTTGGTACTCATGATGATTATTATGTTATTTTCACGATTAATTACGACAGGTAGAATGAAATCAGCCGACCAGTGGCCGGCACGAAATTCCCGCAAATACAATGATTATTTTTTCTATTTTGTATTTTCCCAGTAGGGTAACTTAAGCGGAAGCATTGGCTTCCTGGATAATGACATCGCTGGCCTTCTCGGCAACAAGGTGGAGTGGCTGAGCAATGTAGAAACCAGGGATCTTGGGGAAGACGCTGGCATCCACAACGCGAAGGTTCTTGGTGCCGCGGACTTTTAGGTTGGTATCCAAGACAGCGTTGACGTCGTCGTCGGCGCCAATGGGGCACGAGCAGGAGGCGTGATGGCCCCAGGCCTCGCGACGGGCAAAGTCCTTGAGCTCGTCCGTGGTGGAAGCCGACTCCTCCGTGGGCCAGACCTCGGTGAAGCTGCCGTCGAGAGGGATGACGTCCTTGAAGGCGCGGCGGCCGAACTCGAGACCCTCGGCCACGGCCTGCAGGTCCTCATCGCCGCCGACCTGGAACGAGTTGAAGTTGATCATGGGCATGTCGCGCGGGTCGGTGGATTTGAGGGTGATGTTACCGGCATTGTTGCGGCTGTGGGCCTTGAGCACGATCCAGGACCAGTGCACGTGGTCCTTGAGGGCCTCGTCGCTCCAGCCAGGATAGTAGCCAGGGAAGTTTGCGGGGCCACCAGTGATGATCAGGTCGGGGTCGTCGGTCTCGGCGGCGCTGGACTTCTTGATAATACCCAACGCAATACCGTTCGAGGCATAGACACCCTTGAGGGTCTGGTCATCATTCTCGAGATATGTCTTCAGGCAGGGGTCATCCTCTGTGGTCATGAATGTGCAACCGTCGATAAGAGAAAAGTTGGACGGAGTCTCGCCAATGAGAGTCTGTTCGTATCGGTCTTGAAGGTTGAGGCCAACGCCAGGGAGGTCAACGACGACTGGAATATCCCACTTCTCAAGCTCGTCTTTTGGTCCAACTCCGCTCAACTTCAGCAGCTGGGGAGTGTTATAGACGCCGCCCGCAATGATGACCTCGCGGTTTACCGTGACTGTGCCGTTGCCTGTCGGGCTTGCACTTCCACTTCTGCGATCGGCACGGTACACTAGTCAATCGTGTAAGTTGCTGGGCGAGAAGGCTGCAGCTACGCAAGCGTTATTGGAAATGATGACTTACGGCTTTTACCCTCCATAAACTCAACACCAGTAGCCACGGGCACATCACCGCTCTCGTCAAAAATAATCTTGGTCACCTATAAATGTGGTCAGACCCGCAATCTTTGACCCGCAATTGGAGTTCACTTACCAGAGTATCAAGCTTAATGTCCAGCTGGTACTTGCGCGAGCCATCGGAGTTGACAGCATTCGCAGTATCAATGATGTGATCTCTGGCACCACCACGCTTGCTGTCGCGCATGGCCAGAGGAATCTGGTACACACCCTCGATCTGCAACTGGCCGGGAGCATTAATATCAGTCAGCAGGACGCCCGCCAGACCGGTAACGGTGGTCAGCAGAGCAGTCAGAACGGTCTCGCCCATGGCGGTAGCCGACGCAGCGATAAGCGAAACGAGCTTCAAATCCTTGACGGCAGTGATCAGGGAGGTCAGCGAAGTATCGTACCATCCGCTGAAACCATGACCAATGATGCTAGAGGGGATGTAGTGGTTCTTCTCAATCTTCTCCCAGTACGTCCTCATATTGTCGGCCTTCCACGTATCGTCACCAGTGAGCTCGGCAATGCCATCCCAGTCACTGTCGAATGCTTGAATGGTGACAAGAGCATTGTGTCGAGAGCATCCACCGAGAGTACCTGATCTAGGATACAAGATGCCTAGAGGCTCGGCATCTTCGGGAGGGCTCAAGCCAGTGTACTCTGTTCCATCCGGCAGCAGGTAAGTCATTTTGGTGTCCAAAGCCTGCTCCTCCAGGGTCGGGTGGTGCCAAACGTAAAACGCCCATTCTGTCTCGTCATAGGCGGTGGAGGCAAGGTTCAGGGCCGGAACTTCCTCGATCAACTCTGTTCCTTGGTCACCACCAGCGTCGATAAGAAGCACCTTGAAGCCGGCAATGGCGAGGTTGGCAGCAGTTGGACCGCCACCTGGTCCACTACCAACAACCACATAGTCGTATCCCTCAAGAGAATCCCTCTTGCCTAGGAAGGGGTTGTGTCGGGGCTTAGGTGTTGTGGAACGCCATGGCACAGATCTGGAATGAAAACAACTTGTCAGTGTTGCTACTTCTGCAGGCTGAGGAGGGAGTGGTATCTTACAAGGCCGTAGCACTGTTGACAAGCAGCAATCCTGCTGCAACCGCCGTGTATACCCGCATGTTGGAAGATGACGCTGTGAATGAAATTGAAAGTAGCAGCTAACTTGCTCAGAACTCCAAATATGAAATTAATGAATGTGTCGGCAATGCAGCGCAATGCACGTAGAAAAGAATGGCAGGAATCGAAAGACTCCCTCGAGAGAGACCGAAAGGCAATGCTAAAGAATGACTGGTCTTGGCATGGTGGTGGCAAACTCGAAGGCGACGATCTGATGGCGATACCTTATAATGTTCAAGCAGCTGCTCTAGCATGAATCTAGTTGTATGAATTCATCTAAGGGTCTACTATATGATTAAGGTAAACTATATTCAGCAATGGGGCTCCCCGGAGTTTCCCTCTGTCGCCGATCTGGATACTCTTCCTGGGGCAATCATCCCGAACCTCGATCCGCCGATCTCATCATGCCTCGAACGAGGTTCGTCAACAAATCAGGTCGAAATAGATTCCATCATGCGGCTTGTCGAAATCCGGTCTAACACGTGGGGACATGCACTGGAGTCAACATCTGCTAAGGCTGGCTGAATATTCACAAGCTTGACAATTCCAAGTTGTTGGTTCATAAAAGTGCCCCTTGCAGCTTTAAAAAGGACCAGGGCCGAGCAGGACTTTCGAAACCATCTACTAGAATGATGCGCTTTTGGACAACCTTGGAAATGATCGGCTTGCACCAACGAGAAGTGTTTTCTTAGGCAGGCGGCTGCTGGGATCTCGTAGCCCGTTGGTGGTGATTTCCATTCACTATTTGCGATGGCTTCTGCCATGGCCAATTCAGCTCAATGGCGTGCATCCATCGTGTTGTTCTTACTCCAGCAACTCACATATAGCAGTTTATGTCGATCCATGTAAAAGCGTGAGGAGTCAACACGCTCCAATCGACATTGCGAATCATTTAGCATGTGCGGTTGTCAGATAATGAAACCTTGCAAAGAACGTGGCAGCGATGTGATATTACGGAGTCGATCGGGCACCCAACCGAGTTTTGACCGTGAAGGCCTGGGTCGGAGACCCAAATTGTCACGATCCCGCCCATCTGAGCGGGTGAGATGTGGTCGTGCTCGAACGAGACGCAAATTAAAGTGAAGACCCTGTCCAGCGACAAGGGTCATTGCCAGGGGTATTTTCCGCGGGCTTGGTAGCTGTTCTCCGCTTCACTCCAAGGGCACATGAAAGATCATTCGGTGCCCATACCAAGATTGATTTGGTGTCGTTGATCCAAATCACTTGTGTTCACGCCAAAGTTTCCTAGAAAGACGCTGGCCAGATTCAAATTGTCCTGATTTCAACTTGCTCAGAGTTAAAGACGAAATTCATATTCTGTCCGCGCGGCTAGGATCGAAGCCCAAGTGCACGCGGCACTCGCTGCCACTCTCGGCCGATAAGCTTGGCAGGGGTTCCGCCCTCCGCCATCTGCAATTGGACGGTAAACTCCGTCGACTTGGCAAATTTGGCAGTCGGACTGTCGATCTCACGGATATTGTAGACAGCCAAGGGAGCCGAGACTTCACACGAATTCCCGCATGATGGCATTTGCTTGGCGACAAGATACGTGATTGTAGTTGAAAAGTTGAAATGAGGCCCCCTATCTCATGTCATGGTCTGCCTTGTCTAAGGAACTAACCTAGGCATGTCTGTGCCATCGGGCGCGCTGCTTACAACATCAGATGAGCGCGCCATCTGTGCTACTCAGAGACCGTTTGTTACATCTCACCCTAGAGCGTCCCGTCCCGTTGCTGTTCGCGCCGGCGGAAATGGCCCCCATCCACGGACCGGTGCTCGAATCATGAAGTAGGCAACTCAATAGCCAGTATGTGTCATGAATTGAGGAGCATATCATGGGCATTATCAGACGACAATGCGTGCTGTCATGTCTGTTCCGCTGCACTCTCGGCCGACTGTCAATTTCCAGACATGCACGTACGGGCAGACGGCAGGATCCGACAATGCAGATAGCGAATTGGGTAAATGAATGGAAACCTGTCGTGTTTTTCCAGGACTTGGGAGACCCATGCGTGAGAATCGGAACTAAACTAGTTTTTGCAAATACCGAAGATCCCTACTATGTTCGCTCAGAGAAAAAAATAAAATGTGGTTAAAGTTTATGGGTCCTCGTCCGCTGACAGATGCACAGACCAATAATGAAGGGTCTCCCTGACCTGGGCCTCCACAGTGTGACCATACGAGCGATATCCGTTTTCAGTTGT